TTTTTTTCGATTTGTAATTTCTTTGGACCGTTTCACTTTTTCATGACTAATGCTGGGCTCAAGTTAACATCCTTTTAAAAAAATAAGCTCAAATCTTCCTTGCCTGTATTCTAGTTTTGAAAGGTTGTTACAAGCTGTCTTTGTTAAGATACAATAATCACAGACAGATCAAATGAGCTCTCATAGTTTGATAAGTTTTCGTGCGATGTTACTTAATGTACTAAAAATAGTCAATCTTTTACAGAAACATTTGATGTCTGAACATCAATAACTTCACTGAAGTTTTTTGGCCTAAGATGTTTAAAAGTGAAAAAAAAAATGAAGAAAAACTCGGTTTTTAAGGCTTGTTTGTTCTACCCCATCACTTCCTGTAAAACAAAAGTGACTTAATTTGCGTTTTCTAATGTAACAAATAGAGCAAACTGCTTGCCCCCTTCAATTCAATTTGGCATGATTTAATTAGAAAATGACACTTATATAAGCGAAAAATTTTTCATAATAATTTTCTCATTTTGATATATTGTCGTCAAAGTACATACGAACTCAATCCCCCATAACTTCATCAGCAAATGTCAGAGATGGTTTTTTTTAAGATAGTACGAACATTTTTACCAAAACGGGTAGTCAAAGGTCAAAATTTGTCACGCTAAACGAAAACCACTCAGTGCATAATTATTTTTTCTCTTTCACTTTAATTCGGAGTTTAAAACTGTTTGTATCAAGGCTAAAACTGATTGGGATCCTTTTACTTATTCCGCACAAACTCAACTTTTTAAAATTTTAAAATGAAACTATTTTTTTTTTAATATTGATATGTTCAGTTTGAAACCATCTCGAAATGTTTTGTTCAGTTTTAAGTCGACTTATTAAGCAGCCGAAATTAGATTGTTTGTAAGTTATTCCAACTTCCATCAAATAATAAGCTGAAGAGTCTTACCCAGACCAGAAACATTACATAGAAAATAGCTCCAGGAAAAAATGAGTTCCTTCACATCTGCATAATTTTCTGCCGTGTTAGAAGCCCGCTCAAAAACAAAGTGACCGCATTTGCATTAACCAAACCAAGCAGTGCAATTATTGTTTTGTTCTCAACCTTTTACCTTTACACTTTTCAGGAAAATGGAACTCTGAAAAGTCAAAGTTCTCACCTGTAATTTCTTTTCGGTGTAGAATGCTATCACGACTAGCAAGTTGCCGACGATGGTCGAGATACTGCAAGCAACCACCAGAATTGCAATCACTACAGCTGCAAATGTGTTCATCTTCACTTCATAATCGAGGCCGGCGCTGTTAGTTTTTTTGTCCTCTGTGTCTCCCGCATTGGCTATTGCATAGACGCAACTTTCACCCCAACAACCCTGTCATAAACTCAACTCAATTTAGAATGTTCGAACAAAAGTTGTGTCTCGGTTTTTGATCATAGCAGGAGTGAAATTTCAGCCCTCGCTTAAATAGGGTCACTTATTCAATGTAATTGTCGAAATAATCTCAAAAATGTTTAGGTGTTTGGCAGATCAAATGTCTATCAATGAGAACTCGAGTGAAAATTTGTTTTGTTTACAATCTGATTTTGGTATCAATGCCTTTTGTTCTTACTTTGAATATTTTTGAACGAATTATTTAATGATTTGGTTATCAGCTACCCCTGCGCTCTTGGTGGTTTGCATTTGAAAGGGTCCCCTTTGATACAACACCACGCTCCTTTGTTTACTACAACAATACTAAGTGACCAAAAATGAGATATTCAAAGCAGAAGTTGTTTGAAAGTCACTCAAAGAGTGAAGTTTTTGAAGCAAGCTTACCAAAGTTTTTGTCGCAAAACTTTCTTCTAGATAATCGGGAGGCAGGAGTAAATTTTCGTAAACAGATCGCGGAGAAGTCATAATTTGATTTCTCAGAATTAATCAAGCGAAAACTTTTCGTTTGGTTTAGCAAACATTAAAAAGGTACGCTCAAACATGGACTAAAATTCAACTCGAACTACCAGAAACATAAATTTCTAGTAAGGTTTAAGGAGCAATTAAAAATACACCAAGCTAGCTGGTCAAACTGAGCAAACTGTCGAAAACTGTTTAGAGGTTTGTCACTAATAGTCCAAAAGGCTGTTTTAGGGAGTTAAAACAGAAATAACACATTGTCAAAGGGTTGGAAATTTTGGATTGGGTTAAAATTTGGCAAACAATTGAAAATATGCATGAAGAGGAAATCTGGAACGGAAATTTGGTTCCATGAATTGCCTTTAATCAGTGTTAGTTCAAACATGATAGCGTTAGTATAAGGTCATAAGCTGGAACTAATTTGTTGTCAACGAGACAATTAATAGCTTCCGGTCGCTTTCTGAGTTCAATGAAACATCAATTTTTTTTTATATTTTAGGGCTGGCTAAAAAAAAATTGGTTCTCAATGGTCACTATTAAGCTTACTTTCTTCACTCGAGAACGCTTCCTCAGAAATTTAAATAAATCTATTGACAATAATAAACAAAGTGTTCTTTTTGTGATGTCAAAGGAGTGAAGAATTCATGAATTCCCTACTTGCTTCTTTAAAATTTGCTCAAGAAGAAGCTGAAACTCGAGTCTTTTCATTTCATTCTGGTATCAAAAAGTTCTCGGTCAGTAAGAAAGAATGGAAGACACAGTCACAATAAGATTCTTGGGGAACCAACTAATCTTGACAATTAGTCTTGCCTTGTTGCTTTAAATTGAAACCTATTGTACAAAAGCTATGGAGATGGGAACAATAGAGAAATAGGCTCAAAACTCCAGATGATTCCTGATTGGATGAAAAAGTACCTGTTAATATAAAAGAGAGGGTGAAATATTGAAAATGCTTTTTTCTTAACTATCGCTTTCTTAGTTCTAACCTACGCACATTTGTACAAATTTTGTTTGGAAATTCAAAAAAATGTAATTGTTCGAAATCAGTTGCGATATTTTTACACTTGTAAACTTATTCTATGTTTTCGAATAAAATAGATTTTTTGTTTCAATTTTCTGATTGTCTAATGTAAGATTAAATTTGATTTTTAAAACCAACAAACACTGCTCGTATCAGGCGAATACCTGATTGCTCCGACTGACCTTTTTGCCTATGAAATTGTTTTTGAAAAAAAACTTTTGAATAGACTTTTGAAGACGTATTTATTTTTTAAATGAGAATTGAAATGTTTTGATATTTTTTCCAGATTCTAATTAATCAAAATCTTTCCCAACAAGCTATTTAAAAATGAAAGCGTTAAATTTATTTATCATTAAGTAATATTCTAATAGAACCAATAGACTAACCCTACATTGAACCGCAAGGTTTTTTAGTCGGTAATAATTTTTCAAATTTGAGCTCGAGACGTCAATATTTTTCAGATAAAATAAAAAAATTTGTTCAAAAGGGCTAATTAATTTTTTAAAAATGGTCTGAAGGAAAATCTCACAGGGAGTACAAATATTCCGTCATTTTGTTCGAAAGTCGCAATCACTCTAGTACTGTACTGGTATAAAAATAAAACACTTATTATTTTAACTGCCCAATACGCTTACAAAACAATTTATGGTAAAAATTCTAAGCTTTAAAAGAATTGGTCGATATTGAAAAAAGAATGAAAAACATGAATGTTTTCAGCAGTAGATATTGGAGCTGAAGTAAGGGGGGTGGAGATGCGCGGAGGACCCTATGCATTTACATACTTTATGGATTTCCCATCTGCCGCGCTATGTGTTAATTTGGGTATGGAATTTGTAATGTATTAAGCTAGGTAAAAGCATTGGTAAAGTTCCATATTTGACTATGGGTAGGACAAGGTAGGAAAAGGGTTTTTGTGTAGAAACCCCTCTAGTTTTTGTTGAAAAGTTTTCGGGGTGCGTTATCTAAATATCGTTATTGTTTATCATTGGGTGTTACGTGTAGAGTATAAATTGAAGTATCATTGAATGTTTATCTTTGGGATCGAGATAAATCATTGGTAAAATATTTTGCAGAGAAACAGAGTTTTTTTCTAAAAAAATTATAACACAATAAAACTTAGATTGAGGTAAAACCTGTTTTATTTGGTGTTCCAGTTACTTAACACAGTGTTTTAACTGGCTAAAATTATGCTAAATTTCAAAAACGTATTGAGAAAACTAATTAAAAAATATACATCTTGTACATTAAGTTTACCGCATTTTTACAGTTAGTTATTATAAGGCCAGTATACTATTAAGTAGTTGAAAACTTACTTCATTCAATCAATTTCGATAAATTCAATGGTTTTGTATGATTACAATCAACTTGAACTTGTCTCGTTGCGTGAAAATAACTTTTTGATTTCTTTGTCTGCACATAGAGAGCAACCATATGATTTACAGCACTGAATTTTGTTTTTCAGGATGTAAGGTTAACCGCTCCGTCAAGTTTTTTTTTGCTATATGTCCATCTCCAGAAAGATCTAGAGCCCGCTTGCCTAAACATTCCTTATCCAGTAATTTTGAACTTTTTTGACTTGTTGCCATAGCAGCAAGAAGTCATTCAACAAAAAGAGGGCATTATGATGCTGTTGGATTTTTCTTTTCATGGGTTTTGCATCTGCCTTGAAAGAGTCTCAGAAGTCAAATTCTTTCAGTGTTTCCCATAATGTTCTTTCATCTGCCTGTATGCAGTTGACAAACTTTATTCTGCAAGATCTACGTAAAGCCAGTCTGTGTTCTTCTCCTAATTTTCAAATATGAATGCATCACGAAAATTTTCAATTAAAAAACAGCAACTATGGGTTCTCTGAGCTCAATGTTTGATTTCAACAATCCCACCCCGAAGAGATCTTTCTCAACCGTATTCAATCTTTTGAACAGTGGATCATTGATTGCTCTGTGAGTTTTCTCATTGTTGAGATGGCTCGAAGTTTCATGCCTGGATCTACCCATGATCTGGTATTTATGGAAGAACTTGCCTAAAAACCTCTTTGTTTCCGCTACAACTGCTGATAGTTGAGTTGTATCTCCACTTTTCTAGCATCAACCACTGACTGGACAATGCTTTTAAAAGTGTTAAGAATTTATTGAGCAAAGTGGTTGCTTTTCAGTTACAGTACAATCCAAGCTCAAAATATAAGTTGAAAAGAGGAGTACTAAGTGATTCATTTTTTAATTTGAAGCCAGAGATCAGCAATTTTCGAGTACAATTTACCAATTTGTTCTTGATGTTATTTCGATACCTTCAATAGGGATAGAGCTGGCTTGAATCAAGTTCTGCAGAAAGTCTTGTCAACTACAGTTTTTCGAGTAATCACAACAGAGTTCTACCGATCTTGTCTTCTCGTATTTTGTCACAGAAACCTTTATCACTTTCGCAAAATGGATAATACCTGTAACCTATAGATTAGTGTAGTCTTAAATTTGCCACGTTTGGAAAAGTACATCTAAAATCTAACCTATAAAGTTTTTCTTATAGCTGTTTTGAATTCTTTTGCATTGCTTTGAAGATTTGAATACATCTTTGTGGTTGCAGGATTGCAAAAAACCTTCAAACACAGTCATTCTGTTTTTTACCAAGTTAACTTTTTCAACCGGAAAAAAAGAGAGTCTTGTTTTGAGTTTATTCCAGTGCTTGTTGCACAATAAATATGCTCTTTCTCGGATTCTCAACAACTACAAACACTCTTCCAAGGGTTATTGTTCCTATTTTTTTTTAAAAATTCTTCAAATGAGTGTTTTTCTTGCAAAACTTTCTGGTGCAAGCTACCCTTAAGAGAATGTTTTTGTTGTTTTGTTAGCTTTTTAGGCTTTGAGAACAATATATAGAGACATTTCGTTTTGCTGAAAAAAAATGAAGCTCTTAAAGTATGAGAAGAGAAAATCGTTTGCTTTTATTTATCTGATTTTTCGCTTCTTTATCATGAATCACATATAGGATTAAGCAGGACCTGATTAAAATTAAGTCACATCTACCGCTGTTGGAATCAAAAATGAGTAAAAATTTCCCTGATCTTTGCAGAGTTTGTTTCAAAAAAATCAGACTTTTTTCAATTTGCACAAAATGCGTTGACTTCTTAGCATACTCTGTATCTTTGATGAATTTTTCTGTGTAATTAAACTTGTTAACTGAAAACGTCTCGCCTCGCTCGTTCAGCTGATCGTTTATCTTTTTCATTTCTTCGTTAAAAGCTTTTTTTATCTTGAATTTTTTACTTTTCTCCAGCTTATTTTCTCAATTGAATATGTTAGATTTAAAACAAAGGCAAAGACGAATTTTTGATGAATTTTTAGAACAGATTTACAAATTCATGAGGTCGAATTTAAAAAGACTGAAATTGGAACTCGAAGGAAATCTGGAATTTTAAAACGGTTGTTATTTTGTAATCGAAAAAGTAATTCTTTCTAGCTATTCAAACAAAGTTTGAATTTCATACACGTTCTCTGGGTAATCATGTCTCCATTGAAACTTAGGAGATTTTTAAGGAGAAGATCTGGTTTGGGGAAGAAGACATCAGAATTAGGGCGCCGGAGGCACTTGAGGAAAATACCAATATCAATCGTATGAAGTATCCAATTACTTACCACTCAGTAATAAAAATTTTGAGCTCATGACCAGACTTTGGTTTAGGTTTTTGCAACTTTCTAAGTATTGCAAATTGAGATTAAGGTAACTGTTTTGTACATGACTAACGTTCGGTAAATGCACAAATGATCCTGGCATGCTTCATTTTTTTATTCGATAAAAAACAGGTTACAAAGGTCCAAACATCACATTGAAGCGTTTTTGATCAAAGCAGCGAAAATTATAACCCTTGTAAGCAACTTAAATTTCCACTTTGCATTCTGTCGTTATTGAGTAAATTTCACTATCAAGCGTACTTTCTTCACTCGAGAACGCTTCCTCAGAAATTTAAATAAATCTATTGACAATAATAAACAAAGTGTTCTTTTTGTGATGTCAAATGAGTGAAGAATTAATAAATTCCCTACTTGCTTCTTTAAAATTTGCGCAAGAAGAAGCTGAAACTCGAGTCTTTTCATTTCATTCTGGTATCAAAAAGTTCTCGGTCAGTTAGAAAGAATGGAAGACACAGTCACAATAAGATTCTTGGGGAACCAACTAATCTTGACAATTAGTCTTGCCTTGTTGCTTTAAATTGAAACCTATTGTACAAAAGCTATGGAGATGGGAACAATAGAGAAATAGGCTCAAAACTCCAGATGATTCCTGATTGGATGAAAAAGTACCTGTTAATATAAAAGAGAGGGTGAAATATTGAAAATGCTTTTTTCTCCACTATCGCTTTCTTAGTTCTAACCTACGCACATTTGTACAAATTTTGTTTGGAAATTCGAAAAAATGTAATTGTTTGAAATCAGTTGTGATATTTTTACACTTGTAAACTTAATCTATGTTTTCGAATAAAATAGACTTTTTGGTTTCAATTTTCTGATTGTCTAATGTAAGATAAAATTTGATTTTTAAAACCAACAAACACTGCTCGTATCAGGCGAATACCTGATTGCTCCGACTGACCTTTTTGCCTATGAAATTGTTTTTGATAAAAAACTTCTGAATAGACTTTTGAAAACGTATTTATTTTTTAAATGAGAATTGAAATGTTTTGATATTTTTTCCAGATTCTAATTAATCAAAATCTTTCCCAACAAGCTATTTAAAAATGAAAACGGTAAATTTATTTATCATTAAGTATTATTCTAATAGAACCAATAGAATAACCCTACATTGGATCGCAAGGTTTTTTAGTTGGTAATAAATTGTCAAGTTTGAGCTCG